GTTCCAGGATGGAGAGAGCGGGAGAGAGAGAGCAGAAGCATGCAAGGCTCTCACTGTATTCTCTAGATCAAAGCAAGTGACAAGGCCAGTCCAGATTCACAAGATAGAAAGATAGGCAGCACCTTCTTGCAGGGAATTGCTACACGATCCATTACAAAAGGACTTAGCACAAGGAAGAGCAGAGAATTTGGCTATTTTTGCAATCAGTCTATCACAGCCAATCAGTACACACACATGTGCAAGCAAAGAATCTACCACATTGTCTTAAAGTCAAAGATTTAAGTCATGGCCTTTTTTATTATTTTATTATTTTATTTTTTTGTTTTTTGTGAGGAAGACTGGCCCTGAGCTAACATCTGTGCCAATCTTCCTCTGTTTTATGTGGGATGCCGCCACAGTGTGGCTTGATGAGCAGTGCTAGATCCACACCCGGGATCCAAACCTGCAAACCACAGGCCACTGAAGCAGAGTGCGTGAACCACTACGCCACCGGGCTGGCCCCAAGTTACGGCCTTTTTAAATCTCCAGCCGGATTCAGTATGCCTTGTCTATATATTCTGGATAAATTTAAGGGAAAAGTTTTGTCATAGTAGCTTTTGTTTCTTTTGTTGTGTTCTCAAGAAAGGATGGTACTTGGGGCTGGCCCCGTGGCCAAGTGGTTAAGTTCGCGCGCTCCGCTGCAGGCGGCCCAGTGTTTCGTCGGTTCGAATCCTGGGCGCGGACATGGCACTGCTCGTCAGACCACGCTGAGGCAGCGTCCCACATGCCACAACTAGAGGAACCCACAACGAAGAATACACAACTATGTACCGGGGGGCTTTGGGGAGAAAAAGGAAAAAATAAAAATCTTTAAAAAAAAAAAAAAAAAAAGGATGGTACTTAAATGCGAAACCTAATGTATATTCAGCATGCTGGGTGAGAATTTGTATACACAAAAGCTTTGCAGTTCCACCTGATAGGTCTCAGGGCTGTGGAATTCTGTCCCACGTGCTCCATGAGAGCAGAGACCGTTTGTCCTGTTCACTGGTGATCCCGAGCCTTAGAAGTGCCAAATAGTCAGCACCCAGTGAAGTTTGTTGAGGGAAGGAGTGGATGAATGTAGTACTTAGAATGATGGTGGAACACGGAATAAGGCAGTGTGACATAACAGTGAGCGTAGCCTGGGATGCTGTATTTGAATTCTGTGAGGCTCACAAGACTGGTCCAGCCATCCGATATGGTTTTTATCTGGGGATTGTGAACAGGACATCATGAGGTGGAAGGGTCTCCTGAAATAATTACAGAGCTGTCTTTTTCTAAGCATAAAACATATACGCATTTGACATTTATCAGAGGTGTTTCATCTTTATCTACTGTTTTCCATTTTTGTCCGAGGACACAAGCAATGTAAATGGGCTTAAATTTTAGGAGCAGATCAGAAAGGATTTTTAAATTTATTTATAACTCTGCAAGTTATTAAATAAGCAAGATATGGAGTCTTATTAGAAGTAAACCACATGCCCACTAATCCAGTTTCAGCGCCCAGGAACGCACCACATGGCCCCTCAGCATTCCATCAGACCTTGGTTCTGGAGCTCTTTGCTTTTTGTGCTTTCCAGGGTGCAAAGTGAAGTGGGGGGAAACTGCTAAGATCTGTTTCTACCTGCAGAACACTTCTGACATCAAATGTGATGGTAGCAGGGAGGCCCTCCCACCAACAGCCAATTCTCCAAGTCTCCGGACCCTGGCTGGGTGTCCCACGATTCAACTCAACTCTAACACCACCTACCTGGCGTTAGTGCATACCCCGCCGATTAAGGGCTCAGTCCCACAAGACTGCCCCCACCTCACATGCCAATCACAAGCCAGGTTGTCACCTCTTCTTCTGACCAACTGACTGTAAATCAGGGGTTCTCACAACTCCCTCCTCAGGTTCAACAATTTGCTAGAACAGCTCATAGAACTCAGGAAAGCACTTTACTTACATTTACCAGTTTTGTTTGTTTGTTTGTCTGTTTTTCTGCTTTTTCTCTCCCAAACCCCCCAGTATATAGTTGTATATTTTAGTTGTGGTCCTTCTAGTTGTGGCACATGGGACGTGACCTCAACATGGCCTGATGAGTGGTGCCATGTCCACGCCCAGAATCCAAACCCTGGGCCGCAGAAGCGGAGTGCAAGAACTTAACCACTCAGCCATGGGGCCAGCCCCACATTTACCAGTTTATTGTAAAAGACATTATAAAGGATACAGATGAACAACCAGATGAAGAGGTACATAGAGTGAGGTTGAAAGATCCTGAGGGAAGGAGTTTCTGTCCCTGTGAACTTGGCGTACAGCATCCTCCTGGCACATGGATGTGTTCACTAACCTGGAAGCTCTCTGAGCCCTGTAGTTTAGGGGGTTTTATGGAGGTTTTGTTACATGGGCATGATTGATTAAATCATTGGCCATTGGTGATTAACTTAATCTCCAGCCCCTCTCCCTCCACAGAGGCTGGGGGTGGAGCTGAAAGTTTCAACCCTCTAATCCAGCCCCCATCCTGAAGCTATCTAGGGGGCCACCAAGCGTAACCTCATTAACATAAGCTCAAGTATGGTCAAAGAAGCTTGTTATGAATAACAGAAGATGCTCCTATCACTCGGACAATCCCAAGTGTTTTAGGGGTCTGTACCAGGAACCGGTACCGGAAACGGGGAACAAATATACATTTCTTATTATATCACAATATTTTAGAGAACCATTCTGTTTAATACTTATGTGTGTCTTCCAGTAGGACTTGACTTTCAAAGACCATTGAGAGATGGGAAAGCCCAGCAGGCTGCCCTCTTCTGAGGACATGAGCTCCTAGACACCTTCCTAACCAGCGTGATTCTCATCTCGTCCAGCTGTCTTTACATTCTGGGCTCCTAACTCTGGGGCCTCTGTTCCTTCTTACTCAGCTGGATTCAGAAGACTTCACAGTATAGTTTCACGACTCAGAGGTCTTACAAAGAGCAAATCAGTGTTTTAAAAGATAACATCTTTACTTAATTATAACATCCATACAAATCATAAGGGAACAGATCAATAAATTATCAAAGAAAGAAATTTTCTGAAGGACAAGGATTAGCCTTGATGTACAGACTGTATACACCTTTATTAGTTGTTAAAACATGGAAATAATAATAATAAATTTTTTTTCCAAAGATTGGCACCTGAGCTAACAACTGTTGTCAATCTTCTTTTTTTTTTTCCCTGCTTTTTCTCCCCAAATCTCCCCAGTACATAGTTGTATATTTTTTTGTTGTGGGTCCTTCTAGTTGTGGCATGTGGGACACTGCCTCAGCATGGCCTGATGAGCGGTGCCGTGTCCGCACCCAGGATCCAAGCCAGCGAAACCCTGGGCTGCTGAAGCGGAGCATGCAAACTTAACCACTTGGCCACGGGGCCCCCCTAATAAAGAAATTTAGCCACCATACAAGTCAAGAAGTAGAACTTTGCCAGTATCTCAGAAGCCCTGCTTGTGCCCAGACTCTGTCAATGAGCCTTCCCTCCTACCCACATGTACCCACCGTCCGGACTTTTAACATCATAGATTAGTTTTGCCTGTTTTTGAACTTTATATGGATAGAATCAAACAGAATGTGCTCTTGTGTGACTGACTTCTGCTGCTCAACGCTATGGCTGCGAGAGTTATCCATGTTGTTGTGGGAAGCAGTGGCTGGTTCATTTTCATTGATGTACAGGTTTTCTTTGTATGACTATATCATACTGTTGAATCAGTTCTGCAGTTAACGGACATTTGAATCGTTTCCAGTTTTGGGTTATTATGAATATTTCTGTGCATGTCATTTGGTGCCCATGTGCACACATTACTGTGGAGTATATATTTAGGAGTGGAATTGCTGTGCCATGGAACATGCATATGTTCGATTTTAGTATCAATGCCCAGACAGTTTTCCATAGTGGTTTTCCAGTTCACACTCCCACCAGCAGTGCTGCACGTCCTTGTTAACACTAGATATTGGCAGTCTGTTTAATTCTAGCCATTCTGCGGCTCTGTAATGGTATCTCATTATCACTATAATTAGCATTTCTCTATGACTAATGAGGTTGAGCATCATTACTTATGTTTAATGACTATTTAAATATCTTTTTTCTGATATACTGATGCAAGTTTCTTGCCAACTTTTCTATGGTTTGCTTATTTATTATTGGTTTGTAGGAGTTCTTTATAAATTCTGGATACGAACTCTTTGGAGGTTATCTGTATTGCAAATATCTTCAACTCTGTGGCTTGCATTTTAACTCCCTTCATGGTGGCTTTTGATGAACAGAGGTTCTTAAACTTAATGTAATCCAATTATCTATCCTTGTGCCAATACCATAGTCTGAAAAGTACTCCAATTTAACTAAATCTTGAAATCTTGTCATGTACATCCTCCAGGTTTTTTCTACATTTTCAAGATTGCCTCGTCTATTCTTGGCTCTTTGCATTTCCATAAATTTTAGCATCAGCTTGTCAATGTCTGAGATTTTTATTAGGATCCTATTAAATCTGCATAGATCAATTTGGACAATGCTGACAACTTGACAATTTTGAGGCTTCCATTACACAAACACAGTACATGCCTTCATTTCTTTAGGTCTTCTTTAATTTTGCTCTGCAATATTTTGTACCAGTCCATGTAGAAATCTTACACATAGTTTGTTAGATTTATTCCTAGGTGTTTGATTTTTTTTATGCTATGGGAAATGGCATCTTTTACAATTTTTGTTTTCTATTTATTGTTGGTATATATAAATAGGGTTGATGTTTTATATAGACTGTAGACCCAGTGTCCTTGATCAACTCACATGTTAACTATAACCATTTCTGTGTAGATTCTTTGGGTTTATCTGTGATACACCGTCATATCATCTGTGAATGACAGTTTTATTTCCTCTGTTCCAGTCCTTATGCTTGTTATTTCCCTTTCTTATGATCTACACTGGCTCTGTGACCTTGGACCTAATGAGGTTTTTCCCTCTTTCCTTCCAGATGAGGCTGAGGCACACATTGACTATGAAGATAATTTCCCTGATGACAGATCCGTGTCATTCAGAGAGCTCATGGAGGACTCCCGGACAGAGGCAGAGAAGGATGGGCATCAGGGAGAGGCCTCTGAGGAGGCTCCGAAGCAGGACCGTCTGGTCTCCATTTCTGTGAGGAGAGAAAACATAGCCCGGGATACAGCCTTTGTGCCAACTGCAGGCTTGCCCAGTGCTGGGAGCAGTGTCCCCACAGACCTGCCAGGATCCCAACTAAACCAGAAGTACTTGTTCTGGTTTCCTGGTGAGACCTTCCACAAGCCTGAATTGGAAAAGGAGATAGATGATGACACCAAAAAGCAGTTTCCTGCTGGAGACCACAGTGGGATAACATTGGCTCCGGGTGAACCTGAAACCAAAGTGATCTATAGCAGCACTGATGGTCCCTCAGTGCCATTTGTGGGCAGCAATGACAGCAAGGCAGGGGATCCAATGGTGAGCAGCAGCGATGGGTCCTGGTTAGATGGCTACCCTGTGACCGATGGGGCTTGGAGGAAGACAGAAGCAGAAGAGGCAGAAGAGGAGGAAGATGGGGATAAGGGGGATGGGTCAGTAGGACTGGAAGAAAGTATTCTAGTTACTCCCAATCAGCCCATTCTTGTGGAAGTTAAGAAGCCCAGAAGTACCACCCTCATACCAAGTGAGGACATGACCCGTAGTTCAGTTGTCCTATCTCAAACACTAGATGTAGAAGCTTTGGCTCTCAGACCCATGAATGTGTCTGAAACTGAGGGTCCCAGCAAGGGGAATGGTGACTTGATCACCAAGTACCAGTCAACTGTTCCTTGGAGATTTGCCACAGAGAAGCCTCCCGTGGTTACTCTACCTTATGAACTCACCAGCTCTACCCTGGAGACTGTAACAACTGCTGTCCAGAAGATGCCTAACCACATTCCCTCAACTGCTATGGCGGCCACCCAGACTCCCATGGAAACCACTGCTCCTGAGGTCCAGGATAGCTTCCCATACCTACTGTCTGAGGACTTCTTGGGACAAGAAGGCCCCGGCCCAGGTGCCAGTGAGGAGCTTCTTCCAACCTTGGAGCCGTGTGTAGGGGATGAGTGTCCCAGCCTCAGCAGAGGCCCCGTCATCGCCACGGTTGTCACTGTCCTGTGCCTGTTGTTGCTCCTGGCAGGTGTGGGAGCAGTGTGGGGCTACCGCAGGTGCCAGCACAAGAGCTCTGTGTACAAGCTGAATGTTGGCCAGCGGCAGGCTCGGCACTACCACCAGCAGATTGAGATGGAGAAAGTCTAGCCACCTTTGGAGTGGGCTCTCCCAAAGCCACTTGGGAGGAAAAGAAACTGTGACACATCACATGGATAAACACTGATAATTCACTAGAGCATGAAACAGGTGGAGTAGGGCTCATCTTTTTCTCAGGTGTTTGTTTTATAGGCTGAGAAGTATCTCTGGAGGCACCTGGCAGGGCAGGAAGGCTTTGGTGGCATCATCACGCACGTTAATATCTCCTCAACCATCTGCCCTGGAATGTATTGCACTAATCCCAGACCTGTGCTTGGGCCTTAACTCCAACGTCAGGTCAAAACTCACCTCTTGTTTCATCAAACTATTGTCTTCTTTTCCTTTTTTAAGAAAAAAAAATTACTGACTCCATGACCTGAAATTTTTGAAATAGGCTTGATAAATGGAGCATTTGAGAGCAGTGTTATTTAGGATATAGATATTTACTTGTTGGGAGTGGGATACAGAAGAATAATGGGTTATTTCCTTTTAATCTTGTGATGTTGCTGAGGGCAAATGAGCCAAGAACCAGGACATAGTCTAGAAGCTTTGAGATTTCTCTTTGTTTGTTGAAACTGGACAGAATTTAAGACTGACATTTTGTTGCAGGGGAAGTGAGGAGGGGCAGGACACACATCCACCTCTGTTCCCTCCATTCTGTGGGACAGCCCATCATTTTTTTAAAAACAAGGTTGGCTTTGTACTAGTAAGCACCATTTCCTCTCGGAAGCAGTGGCCTAGTTGTCCTTGACCAGTCTGTGCCTAGGAATGTCTTAGAATTTTTGCCAGGACTAACAAAACTCAGTCCTTGGTTTCCTCTCTCAGGATTAACCATTTCTCTGAACTCCAGTAAGAGGGAATGACATGGGAGGAAAAAAATGTTTTAAGAGGGCCAAAGGAGTAGGATATCTATGGGTACCTACTTGATAGAGAAGCAGATTAATTAAAAAGGAATATGAAACCTGTGCCAATCTATTCTTTACTCTATTTTGGCAACTGTGAGCTCTATGTAAACAGCATGAGTCCAGGATGGATTCATCCTGGCTACTGAGCAACCCATTTCATAGCATCTAGATCAGCTTATGGTGACTCAGCAAGGCTTGTTTACAACAATGGTCCTCAGAGTGCGGTCCTCAGACCAGTGCTCCAATATCACCTGGGAACTTGATGGAGCTGCAAATTCTCTGGTTCCACCCCAGACTTAAGAAGCAGAAACTCTGAGAGTTGGTCCCAGCTATCGGTGTTCTAACTAGCCCTCCAGGTGATTCTGATGCACACTCGGGTTTGAGAACCATTGGTTTATGATAACATAAATTTTGTGCTTTGAGGCCAACTGAAGTTCCAGTGGCACAGAAGATGAGTAACACCTGTGGCTTGTCTTGCACGGAAGTCAGGCATCACAATGTGTACCTGAGGTAGCATTTGAAGCTGCCGAAATACCATCTCCAATGGTCTCCTGTGTAATGGCACAGAAAAAAAACTCATTATATTTTTCTGAAATAGTTTTCAGCAGTAAAAAGTGATGAAGGCAGTACATTTATTTTAAGACAGTCTAAGAGTCCAAGTGTTTTTTGTAGCATGAGAGAAATCCTGAACTTTTTTACAATGGAAAAATTGTTGGTGATGTTTTACCTAAGGAAAAAAAGAATTCTCGCAATATGTTTTCTACCCTGCCACCTCTTTTTTGGTGCAAGTTTTGGAAAAATAATAGGCTAAGTAGCTATAAAGTTGGTACAGCAAAATCAAAGACCCCAGTCCCCGTTAGTCAGTAAAACGAAGGCCTAAAGGTACCAAATGGAATACCTATGTGTCAGATGAAATCTAGAACAATAGGAATGAAATGCTTTCTGCATGTAGCCAAAGCAAAATACAAAGAATAAAAGCCAGAGACTGTATATATTTATAAATTAGATTCTTTTCTAATCTATTACAAGATAACTTTTCTATTTGTAACTATATAAAATAACCTCCTTCTCAACATTGGCATCGTGTTATCAACTATTATTATGTAATAACCCAAGAACATTGACCTAATACCAACACAAAAATAGGTATTATTAATACAAACGTATTAATAAATTTATTACAAATACATTAATACATATAAATGTATTATTTTGTAGACATGAACTGCAAAATAGACCCAACACATCAGTTTTTAAATTTTTATTGATTTGGTGTAATCTAAGTTAAAAATGCATGTAGAAAGGGAATGATTAAAACACTGTAAACCTAAATTGTATGTCATTAAGCATGTTTTGAGACTGGTAAATGTTTAATATTCATGAAAATTGGGTGGGGGGATCCATTAACACAAAGCTTCTGAGATATTTAAAATAAATAAATATTTCCCCAAAGAGTTGCTTAACGTATTTTATATCTGGGCGTATCATGATCGTCTTTTTTTTTTTTTTAAAGGGTTCTCTAGTAATCTTGAAAATAGTGTCTTAATACTTGCTATATCTAAGACGGCCCTCTCTAAGCCTAACTCTAAGGCATGTTACCTCCTGCAGCAGGATTTCAGGGAAGTCTCCAGAGCTCCTGCTTTCTCCTCCCTCCCTCCCTCTTCCTCACCCCAACCAGAGACCACACCCCTCACCTCAACAAAAAGCCCAGGACCTTGCTATTGCTACTCAAGGTGTGGTTCCTGGGCCAGCAGCACAGGCACCACCTGGACTCAGAAGTGCAGTGTCTCAGGCCCCACCCCAGACTTGCGGATTCAGATTCTGCATTTAACAAAAGGCCCAGGTGATGAGTATGCATGGTGAAGTTTGAGAAGCCCTGGCTAAGAGCTCAGAACCGATTGCCTCCCTTCTCCTAACTGATAGGACAATCAAAGGAGTAATTAAAGAGGGTTAGATGTAGGGACTAGTCATAAAAGTGTGGGGAGAGTTAACAGAACCATCAAGGGCTGGTGGAGGGCTGTTTGTAAGCGGGCCAGAGCTTCAGCAATAGGGAAGGCACTGCGGGACAGGATCATGGGTCTCGAGACCATAGCCACTGTCCAACTGTGGCCCAGAGGAGGCAGGGATTTTAAAGACCTAGACCTCTTCTCTCACCTTGCAATTTCTTGCCAGCACATCCCACGGGTAACTGGAAGTCAGAGGTGAGGGAACCCAGAGAATGTCGACCATAGGGGTCAGGCCCCTGGGGCACAGGGCAGAGTGGAAAAGAGATGTGGAGGGGCAAATGGAGAAATCCAACTCAGAGACCATCAGCACCAACCCCGTCTGCCATATGTCCCTTTCTACCTCTGAACACCAGGCATGACTCCTCCCAAGCCACCCAATGTTGTAGACACTGTTGGTGCCTGCCCAGATCGGCTTCACTGGGCAGGTGAACCCATCCTCCAGCTGCCCTGTTGGCTGCTAAAATGCTCACAAATGTGTAAGTGTACCCTTCTCACCCAGATTGACCTTGATCTAGTGGGAGTTCCCTCACCCAGTAGTTAGGCCCACCATCTATGCTCCCAAGGCAGCTTGCAGCCAAGGACTAACCGACAGGAGCATACAAAAAGCCAGCCTTCTTGCCTCAAGGTGGGGACAACTCTGTGGTGTAATTCATGCTCCGCAGCTCCTGTGGGATCAGGCTGAGGCTGGTGTCCAATGAGACCACACCCTTGCTGGCTCCTTCCTGCTTCCCTCACAGCCGTTCTCCTGAGAGTACTCCATCCCTTGCACAAGGGTTTGCTTCAAGGGATCTGGACCTAAGGCATCCATCAATGTGCAAATTCTTATTCCCTACAGTGCCACTCCTCCTCAATCCAAACTTTTCCACCATATCCTCTGGAATTCTTGGGCTGACATCAACAAAATCCCTGTGTCCATCTTTTCTTCAAACAGCTGATGTTTGGACCTTCCATCTCATGGATCTCTGTTTTGCCCTGATTTGTTCCTCACTCTTTCCACCTGCCTCCTTCTACTCTTTTCTCTTTCTCCTTGCTTGCCTTCCAGTGACATGCATGGAGCACGGTAGCTGTTGACAGTCATGCCTGAAGATGTTTTTCATCCTTGTTTGCAATGGTAAATATTCTGCCACTTCTCAGACGTTGGCAGCGAGGGACCAGCTCATCAGATCCAAGTAAGCCCTGGATTCCAAATGTTTTTCCTAACTGGATCCCAGATCTCTGGAAGATAACCACCCTGGGGAGAGAAATGAGCCCATATCTCCTGAAAAGCCCTCGGCACACCCATGGCCAGCAAGGGGCACCCCTGCTATGGGAGATCCGAGTCTTTGGGGTACGGTTCTGCTTTGCTAGATGAATGTCAGAAATCTCACTGACCTGAGAAAACTGAGTTCATTGTAACGTGTCCTAGAATGACTAGGGCTGGTTAAGATGGTCCCATCCAGTGGATAGAGAAAGAAAGCAGTAAAGAATAAGCAAAATAAGACATTTAATGTGATTTTTTTTAAAGTCTTTGTTTTTGATGATTTTCCAAGTTCCGATTTCCCACAAGCATGAGATTGCACACACTGCATTAGCCCAAGGTGGAAAAGACATCAGCAACAACGTTTATAGTTTGGCCTTCTGACCGCCGCCCTAAAGTGGGCAATAAAACTCTGGGATCAATCTCTCCTATCTGTTGGCCAGATTGCTTAATTCCTTGCTATTCTTTTCTGGAAAATGAGGCACCAGTATCTTACCCTATCAGCCCCAAGAGGATAGTGAGCCAACTCACTCATTCACTCAACGAGCCACCAAAGCCAGATATTTGAGGGGTGGGGGGCAGTTAGGTGCTAGGGTATGGTGGCTCACATGCCGGCCCTAGAGAGAAGCACTCTACTACGCTATATCCCACAGCCATGCCTGACTCTTACCTCGGGGGTAGGAGTGGTCAGTCAAGGCAAAGCTGGGCTGTCATGGTGTCTTCCGGCTCAGGGAGATGCCATGGGGATGGGGTGGGGAACAGCCTTGCCCCGCCTGAAGGCACAGGAAGTCCAATGCACAAAACCTTTGGCTGAGGCTTATTTAAGGTTCCTTTCCTTTTTCTCCCCCCCTTGTACATAGTTTAAACTCTCCACACTAGGTCATTCAGGCCTGGAGTCCCCAGAAAAAAGAAGTCGCTGTTTGGGGGATGGCAGATGCTCAAGAGTTCAGACAGCTGCGATGAAGGATTAGTTGTGGGTTTTCTCAGTGCTTCGCTACAAACTCTGTTGCAGTTCCATGTGCAAACACTATTAAATGAGAATGTTTTCTCTGGCACCCATCCACCTTCTCCCCACAGTTTAAGTATTGAATTTTTTAAAAACTGAAGTAGCTTAGGTTTACGGCTCACATTGAAAACTTAAAAACGTTATTTCCATAAATGTTGGCAGAAACCCGCCACTGTTTATTCCACCAGCAGTCATAATAAACCCTTTCCCATTGACAATCTAACAAATCATTTTCTGTTTGCCACTGAGTTTCTGTTCAATAAAATTTTTGTGCTCTTAAAATTCCCTTAGTAAGAACTAAAAGCAACATTTCCTAAGGCGGCCTTTGTGGTCAACGTACCCAGTGGTTCTCCTGGATCCCGGAGGTGAGCACAACAGGCTGGTGGCTGTAATTAGAAAGTCTCAAAACTCAGAAAGACATTAGTATGTTGAATACGTTGGTATGTGCGAAATTTCAGTCAATTAGTCACTTTTAAACCTGTGTACGTACAAACCTCTCCTCAGCCCTTCAAGGCTAATGTAGTCTGAATATTAACAGGGGCTGCAAGGGGTGGCCTTTAGACCCTTCCCAGTGGTGCCCCCTGCCTGGGTTGCCTGAGTGGCACTGGAGCTGGACAGATGCCCCCCATCCCTGTGGTAGACAGCCTCCCTGGGTGGACCAGCCTGAGGAAAGCACAGCAACTGTAGGGCTCCATGCTGTGGGTCAGAGGGCAAGCAGGCCATCTTAGGCTGGGTCTGGAAACTCCCACAAAGCTTACAAATGTGTTTGTTTTTTCAAAAGACAGGCTAGGCTGATACTGAACCCATGAGGTCTCAATCCAGGCATTCTCTAGGCTCCTCCAAGAAACACACTCAGGGAGGGAGGTGCTGGGTTGAGGTCACTGAGCGCAGCCTGAACACTGGGGTTTCTTGGTAGGTTTGGAGGAATTGGACCCCCTTTTTTTCTTTTTGAAAGGTTGCTTTGGTTTCCTTTGAAATAAAAAATTTAGTAACTCAGATCCACAGCCTTCTCAAAGAAAAATGCTGACCATGTTGATCATACTGTCCCCACTGTTTCTTCCTCAGGGGACATTGCTAGGATGGGGGTGGAGGTGCTTTTCAATCCCCAGTGCAAAGAGGCCAGCTTCAGAGAGTGAATGAGGATGCCCCCTACCACCACCACTCAATCCTGTGTGGAAAGTCATCCACCAAAAGCTCACCCCAGGCTCAGAGGAGGAGGACCAAATGGAAGCTCTGCAGGCAGAGGTGGAGTGAGTCAGACCACCCAACCCAGCCTGGTCCCCATGGTGGTCTCCTTGCATTTTCTTGCACAGCTAGGAAGGACAAGTGCAGCCAGGAGCTATGAGGAGAGTTAAACAGCTGCTGAGTGCACTACCTCCACTGACTCAGGAATCCTAGGGCGGGGCGTCCCCTCCCTGGGTCCCCTTCTACTTTATGGTCCTGCCCTATGACCCTCTTCCACACTGATTTCAAAAGGAAGTTTCTCTGGTGAAACAGAGGGTGGGGTGAGGGAAGAAAGGAGGACCCAGGATTCCAGGGGCAGAAGCCATATAGGATCTGAGTCATCACTGGGCTGGAGGGTGCTCTGATTGGGAAGCTGCTGTGGACACAAGCGCAGCCATCAATAATGCCAATAACACTGACTCCTTTGACCACACAGCCCCCTGGGAGTGCAGACTCTGCTGACATGGGCAAATTCAGTCAAAGCCATAGGAGTAGCTTATTGTCTTGAGTTGGGTACCCTAGAAGGAGAACTTGACATGAGGATTCTTGTGCAGATAAAAGAGGAAGTTCTCTCAAGAGAGAGGGGATGAGGGAAGCAGGGTAGTGCAGGAGAAATAGGATACATCTGAGACCCGAGGTTGGAATAGTGAGATGGGGGGAAAAGAAAGCCTGGAAAAGCAAAAATATGTGAGTTTTCCACCCCCAATTAATCATCATTACACTAAAGACCCAAAATTCTATCTCCTTTCATTCCTTTCCATGCCATTGTGGGACAAGTCCTGTCTCCCAAATGCTGCGCCAGTCTCCTCCAGCTTCCTTTCCTGGAGGGTCCCAGCTAGACTAAGTGCCCTATTGGAGGGAACAGGTTGAATAAAGAAAGCTCAGATTTCAAAACACCACCCCTTCTGGTTTTCTCCCACCTCAAAGGTGGCTCCCTCTCGGTCTCTTTGGTGGGTTTCTCGTTTCCCAGAGAGCCCCAGGG